ACACACACACACACACACACACATATATATATATATATATATATACACACACACACACACACATATAGTATCTTGTGGCTACCAAATCATTAAAAATATCATAAAGTGTTTTGTTGGCAGTATAGTATTAAATGCAGAACTATTATATTCCAGGCATTGTTATTAGCTATCGGAATGAAGGAAGTGGACAAAAATCTTTGTCCCTGGGGAAAAGCAGGGAACCATAATTAACATAATACATAAGACAACAGTATGATAGGTTAGGAGATAAGAGATGTCACAGAAAAAAAATTAAGCAAGGTGAAGGTGCTATGGAGTCAGTGCACATGAAATATTGATGCAGCTAAAATAAAATTTGTACTGAACAGTTCCACAGGCATTAACGGGCTGTCCTGTAGGATATGTATCAAACATTTGCTGTGCACAAAGCGAATGTGTACTATCGATTGTTGGGGGAAGGGTGGAGAGAGAAAATATAGAAGGTGCCTGTCCTGTGAGCCATGATCTGCTTCTTGCTTCTTCTTCTTCCTTTGTTTACTATAAACTCACCAGTTCTACACATCATCCATTCCAGCTGAAAAATCAGCCACTTCTGTTGACTCTTCCATCCAGCATATTTTGTTGTTTTCGGTCATGGAGCTTGAACTCAGGGCTGTCCCTGAGCTTTTGTGCTCAAAGCTATTGCTCTACCACTTGAGCTGCAGCTCTACTTCTGGTTTTTTTTTGCAGTTGATTGGAGATAAGAGTCTCATGGACTTTCCTGTCCAGGCTGGCTTCAAACTATGATCCTTAAATCTTAGCCTCCTGAGTAACTAGATTACAGACATGAGACGTATCTTGGAAAGAGAATCATCTTCCTTAGTTAGAGCTGGCCCATCTCCCACATGCATAGTTTTATATCTTCAGGGCCTCGGGGATGGATCACTGAATGCAGTGTTCTCTTTGGCTGGTGAAGAAATGGAACCATGGAGGCTCCTTGACTGCTTAGACCAAATTAGCATCAGTGCACCATGCAGAAAGGAAGGACTCCGATGTGGCGCTCAAAACATGCCAGCGAATGACGTGAAGCTTTTGGAGCCCTTCATGGTGTTGATGATAACTATAATTGTGTCTCTGCTGCAGGTGGTCAACAGAGGGGACCCTTATCCTCAGGAGGTAGGCGCCACTGTTGACAAAGTCATGGAAAGGCTGGGCTACTCCAACCCCTACCGACTGGTCTGGCAGTCCAAGGTAGGTCATTTTGTACACTTGTGGGCAGTCAGCTGTTGAGATCATCTGTTTTAGGACTTAGTTATCAAATGCTTAGATTCACTTCTTTCATGGAGATAGACAGCTCTGTAACCTGATTACTCACCATGGGCAGAAAGAACTATACAAGCAAGGGAAATAGAGGTCAGAAATCCCGGGACTAGTAGAGTTCCATTGGCTTAATATTTTATGAAATTCATCATAATGACAGAAATTATAATTGATTTATACTGGGCTAACTTCTAGGGGTAACTTGTGGGCTAACTTTGGGGGTAACACTAAAACGCAGACAGGCAGGCTCTCATTGCCGGTGGACGGGTGTGCGTGCCCAGGGTGGGGACTGGCCATGTGCTATAGACGGTTGGAGGAACGTCCCATTTACACATTCATCCTTTCCCACAGGTGGGTCCAGTGCCCTGGTTGGGTCCTCAGACAGATGAAGCCATCAGAGGGCTTTGTGAAAGGGGGAGGAAGAATATCCTTTTGGTTCCCATAGCATTCACCAGCGACCACATTGAAACTCTGTACGAGCTGGATATTGAGTACGCCCAAGTCTTGGCCAAGGAGGTAAGTGCTCCCGTCTGCTCACGGTCCTCGCAACTTGATTTCAAAGGACGTTTGGAGAAAGCAGAGAGCAGTGAATTGTGCCGTTCAAAAACTCCGTTTCCTCTGTGTGCTGGCACATGCTGTGTCCTCGTCGCTTTGGATAGCGCTTTATCTGAATAGTAATCCCAATGCTTGGAGTGAATTTGTGTCAGCAGTGGGAGAGGACTTCTGTGTTTCTGTTAAAGCTAGTGGGCCAGGCGTCACTGTGCTCACCATCCTTTAGTCCAGTTTCATTTACTGTCTGTGTGAAAGTAGTAACCATTTAATTTTTTTTTTTTTT